TGTATGTATGTATGTATGTATGTATGTCTGTATGTATGTATGATATATATATAAGAAAATTTGCACAAATCTCATACCGTAGTTGGCACCAACGTTGTCGTTGTGTCCCCAACGGATTTGAGCATACATCATTGTGGGAGTCATTCGGGTTTCTTCGTTAACAAACCAGGTCCGGATATTCTCGGCGCCATGTGTGGCATACCTCAGATCATCTGTATCGGTGAAATGAGTTGGGAAATGTTTTTATTCTAACTCTCATACGCATAATGATACATATCACGCTCAATCATGATTATTCAAGTTATAATCGAGCAACATGATACATGCAGAATAACCCATTCCATTCCAATTGTAACAGCAAAGTTTCACATGAACACTCTATTGCAAATGCCGGCAGTCTGCAATCACAATAATTGTGAAATTGTACGTACAGCATGTATTGAGCTTTAAAGCGATATGCGACTAGAAATAATGCGACATGTACACATACCGGTGAAATACCAACTTAAAGCGAGAATGGTAGTGTTGCCGAACATCGAAGCCAGACGAGATCGGTCGTATCTATTCGAGAACTCATCCCATAGCTCCGTCCCGGGAACACGCTCGCCGTCTCTGCGGACGTACGGCAGACCATCAGTTCTATTCGGATTGGGCCAGAAGTAAGGTGAAGGCGAGTAGTAATCGTGCTTATTTCCCGAGGGAGGGGCTTCTTCTTTGTGTGTTACAGAGAATTGTCCCACTTTAAGGCCTATATTACCCATTTCTATTAAATCCTCAATGAGTTTCACCAGGTTCAGATTTGTCCCCTCTGTGTACGCCTTCTTCTCGAGCGCTAGTACGGTCTCGTTGTACATAGTCAACCTATCCCATCGGAATCCGAAACGGAGATGTGCCACCTATTCAAGAAGATACAATGGTTAAGAGTTAAAGGTTTTCCCACATTCAATAAAAAACTATAAAACCGCTTGCTGGAGTCACACATGCAGACGACATGTAGAGGTTGTAATCTCGACTCCGGCACTTACTAGATATCAACATAACACTCAGCACAATATCCATCGTTAGCTATTGATGCGCACTACCAATAAATAGCCCACATTTTTCTACTTATTTAGCAAAACATGCACGTACCTGCTCATCCAAGTACGCAATCAGCTTCTCTACGCCCTGTGTCCGACTGAGTCCTCTGTTCGCAATGGCTCCCGTGACTTCCAGTTCGCCAGCCCCAGAATACAATCGGGGGATCCACCCAATCTCAAGTACTGGGTGTTTTGTACTGATATCTTCGCTGACTTCCCATTCTTTGGCTTCCCAGTGTCCGGCTGACTGCGGCCATTTATCCCAAGGACCGGCCACCTTCAAACGCCACAGCATTTCGACCTGTATAAGCGCATAAGAACCAATCTTAGTGTCTAGTTGTATGTTTCATATACTTATAGTAAATAAATTATTGTAAATACACGATCAAAATATCTCGAGAGCTTCGTGAATGCCTTTTCAAATACCTTGGGTCGGCGGCCGTAACGCATATTCTCATTGAAACGCTCTATCGCGTCGTTTCGGAAGATGATCTGAGGTTCCTCCTTCGCATTCGGCTCGAACGTAGGGTCGAACAAGTCGCCATTTGATTGCAGACGCACCATGGGGACGGTGAAATACTTCGTATTGTCGCCATCCTAATCGTTCACATTCAAAAAGAGTTGATGTTGATACTACTGACGCCGCTTACTATGCATATCTACTGAATGTATATATATTCTTCTTGTAAAGGAAGTACCCTCAACTTTCGTTGCCGGGGTATCAAGCTTAACGCCATCTATCTCTAAGCATATCTACAAGCCTATTCGATTCCCAGATTTGTGTTTATGCGTACAAGAATAGCGCTTTGGAATTGCAAAGCATATGACGGGCTACTATTTGGATCTGACCTGCTTCTTTTATATCTATATATTTTCGATGTGGAAGTGATCAAAGGATACCGGCGTTCAAGACCATTCCGACACTGTCTAGCTTATAAATTGAAGTTTGTGGCATGGCTATGCTGGAAACTATGTAAGGTCCTCGTTACACAATAAGGGCCGCTTGGGCACATACTAGACACTGTTAAATCAATCGTGCTGTCGAGACATGCATTTTTTACAAATTCCAGATGAAAATTTCTCATATATACCTTTTTGATGCCTGATAGCATGAGCTTCCACGCCTTCTCGGTCAAGAAGCAGTTGCCATCGAATGGGAACACCCACTCAGCCCCGCTTGCAATGCCATCCTCTAGCATGATGTTGCGCGCACCATTGTTGTGCATGACGTAAAGGTTTTTGTAGTGGTATGTGGTGTCTATGACCTCGTATTTGTGCTTATCTGTGCCATCCAGGTATGGATGAGCACGAAGGGGGTCGGTTGGATCTCCGTGTAGATCGTACCACATATCAATCTTTGCGTATTCTTCCAAGTCGATTGGGATGTGGATATATTTCTGAGAGATAGCGAGGTCATTGACGGATTAGAACCAACATGTATTATCCTCATGAAGTGTATGTCCATCTCGATTGAGTCGAACATGCCAACTTAAATCTGACCTTTGGCGATCGATGCAGTGTAAACTCAAAATAACTGGCTTTGTCATTTGAAGATTACTCACACACTAACGGTCTTCCATACAACTAGCGATGTATTACTAGTTAGCAGTCAGTCAGATGACCGTACACACTGGAAGGTGCACATCAATTATGGACTGAGAATTCCGTGCACCCTCACTTTGATTGTCGGGCCGCGAAGCTCACCTGATTATATTCGTCTAAGAGGTCGATAATCTTCTTTTCTTCCTCTTCTCTCGCTATGCGATTGACTATCCAGCGCTTCTCCACATCGGGGAACTCCTTCTCGTTCTCCAGAATAAACTTCACATTGACATACGTCTGTCCAATTGCGTGGCGGGGAGGCAGGTCGTTTCCGATGCTACGATAGTACATGTACTTGGCATCGGTTTTTTGCGAACCAACTTGTACTGTGAGGGTTGCAATATACAGTCAGTTTCGCAGGATAATCAATAGCCATTCCGGTGGTTGTCCATGACAGGGTTGAACGATCGAAACGAAGTCTTCTGCGATGGGCTTATTATATTCATAATAGTTCAAAGCATCCCGACACCTTAAGCAATCAGCATATTATACAGACAGGATGCTGTGCACGCAAGTACGCAACTCGTGCTTAGATATTTAGTTAAACACCCAAAATATACACATATCAGGCCTGAAATACGTTTGGATTTGCACACTCATACACGGATGAACATACGTGACTTCTTCGATAGTGGATGAAGTTTGGGCCACGGTTGCGGTGCAGTATCAGGTATGTCACTATCGCCAAACTGTGAAACCTTCACATGTGCTGCCTTGTTGTTTGATTCTGTCTCTGTGGGCGCGTCGTCATCAGACTCTTCTATCAGCTTATCTTTTATAGCGGAAGCTTCTGTGTCCTCATTCTGGAGTTTTTTATTTTTGTTCTGAAATGAATAATTGTTCGACAAAAGATCTTGAGCATGTACAGCTCTTCAATACGCGGAATATACACACAGCGATGCAAAGGTCAATTCTGACAGTCTTCGACATACATATGCCAGCGTTCTACGTATGCAATGGCTTTATCAAACTAGCTGCAGCGCGCACCACACTGCGTTGACAAATCCAGAAAAGCAGGGTGGTTATGTACCGCGCAATGTATAGTGACTAGGCTGCCATAGTTGGTAAAATTACTGGATTCAGTTGCTAGCAGAAAACTGTACGGTAAGGGAGCAATCGACACTTTGCGACATTCAAAACAAACAAATAATTTAGTCCATGTGAACAGGTAAGATAATTATAATTTGAGACACGGGTGTCAAGTATAAGCTGACTTTTAACCATCACAAGGAGTGAATATTACCATAAAACATACTTCACAATCCATCGGTACTTTTCCTGCTACGTTGCAAAACTAAAAAATTCATAAATAACCACCAAAAATGAACAAACTAGCTAATATTCAAGCAATACTGCGAATTCTTACACTATTGTCAATGTCTTCCATGCCCTCCTCTTCATCTGTCTGCAACTCCTTGTGATCGGTTCGTTGAGGTGGAACGAATGTAGTGTTTATCACATCGTTTATCTTGTCATCCTTGCCTATCGACGCTTTGTTGATTGTGATAGTACTATCGATAGACGAGTCCGTCGCAAAATGATATCCCAGTATGCAGACCGCAAGCAGGGCTAATGCGAGCCTGAATTCACAGGGTATAGAGTGACTTTTGATTTAATCTCTGAGCCGCAAGGCAAGTTCTCCTCGAAGTTTCATCATGCAAGAATTACATATAAAGATATCTCAAAATCAACGATCAAGGCTAATACTTTTGTGACATCCAGTAGATAGTCCTTATAATCATAGTATCCACACTACGTAGGTATTGACATTGTCGCATCAGTGGGAAACGAAATCGATAGAGAACACCCGGATGCATCGTATCTTTTAGTCTTATCTCACCCTCTGTATAAAAGTTCATACCGCCACACCAAACAACCCAAAATGTACACCAAATCACACCACACCCTTGAATCCTGCGACATAGAAAAATATACAGAAAAGGTGCATCTTGTATTTTACACTGATGCTTACCATTTGAATTTTTTCAGGCCAGCCAGTTGTCTCGAGCATGATCGGTTCCTCAGCTGTGCACCACCATTGAAATATGATGGAGTGTACAGGAGACGTTCCTCGTCACTCTGGTTAGTGGCGCGCATCGGTGCTTTCTCGATACTTTCGACTATTGCACTTCCCATGGTATTTGCTGACTGACTAGATTTCGATCGAATAGGGCAAACACAAGTGCGCTTATATTATGAATTTCTTTTATGGCCTGAGTGCTGCGTACCAGTTTTATACGCCCGCAAAAAAATACATAAGTTGTGGAACTGATAATTCTATGAGGCGAATTAAATTCGATTCTCGTCCTGTGTAAGTGTCAGTGTGACCTTGAATACAAACAGGTAGTGTACATATATCGTTCGCCACTTCCTTTTCGTCAGAGGTCAAACAATGAGACTGCTCTAGTAACATCATTTGTCGCTTATTATGGTCAAATTATTACCGATCATCTGTCGATTATTATTACAAAATCGTGAGTGAATATGATAGTTCCGATAATGTTACTTGGCTCTAGTAGTTTACGACGAGTGTATTGTTGAACTCCAGATTTCCAGAATAATTCTGTTGGAAACTCGTACTGTAGCCGGCTATTACTATATGATAAAAACAAATGTTGTAAAATCTTTAATCCCTGGATGTACACTTGTTTACAGAGTTGGATGGCGACCATGAACGGATATCCAATCAAAATGATTTCTACTATATCCCATTGGGGAGTGCTTTATAGTATTGGAGGACTCCTGCGCGTGTACTCTGACACTTATTTTGTGCATTTTTTTAAAGTTTTGATTGCAATTGTTGGAAAAAGCATAAAAAATGGATTGAGTTTGAATAGGATACTATGTATCGTCGTACAAAAAAAGCGGGGTAAATTTAAAAAAATATCTTGATTGAGAGAGATAAAGTATCACACACATATACGGCTATGCGGTCTTAGAAAATACAATCCTTCCATGTGTATAATAGATAATATTTGAGCTTTTGGATGAATCCTGAGCACTTGCGGCGGGGCTCTGCGGATACATCGTCATGGAGCGATTCCAGCTCGATCTGGTAAGGTTGTTTACTTCTTGTTAGGTATCCCTATTGACTCGGATTAGGCGTACAGAGGCTGGACGGCTCCGGAGGGCCCGTCCGAGTAATACACATCATTGTAGTATGAAATTGTAGTATTGGTGTCTAATTGTAGTAATAACGTCTAATTGCATTCAGTAAATTATACTATTAGCTAATTTTGAACAATAGAACGCCTACTGAATACCTGTTTTCAAGAGGATAGATTCTTGTGTATAACTATAACTCAACCATGACTCATAATTTTGCAAGATTGAGCATGTCTCTAACAAATATTGCTTTCAGCAGACCATTGAGGTGATATTTCCTTAGGTCAAGTTCTGTACTTCAATATCTGCATGCTCAATTTATACACTCGTGAACACACACACACACAAACACACGCACACACACACACACACACACCCATATATATATATATATATATTATATATATATGTGTGTGTGGTATATATAAT